TCCTCGTCCTGGAGGTGGAGGCATTCCTGGCCCCGCGCTACCTCAAGAGGGGCGATTGGGTGGGGCCGCCCATCTTCGCCAGCCAGTCCATCGTCGCGGGCTCGACCAACGGCACTAGGTTTGGCAAGATCTTCCTGTGCCCTATCCTGCAGGCTGCCCAGGCGCAGGCAGAGACCGCCACGATCTGGTCCTACATCGACGACACGGTCTGGAGGGCCGAGGGGACCAAGGAGGTCGTCACGGATTCCCTGGACACGGCCGGCGCAGCACTCGCCCAGCAGTGCGCAGCCAGCCGGCTCACGGTCTCCCCCAAGACCACGTTGGTAGCCTCGACGGCGAGCTTGCGCAAGAACATAACCCAGCGCATGCGGCAGCACGGTGTCCCTGGCCACGGCGCCAACCACATGGTCGACCTCGGAGTGGACGTCGTCACCGGCAAGAGGCGTGCCCAGCGCAGGGCGCGAGCGCGGCGCGCGAAGGCCGCCCTCCGTGCGAAGCGCGTGCTGCGCCTCCGCCGCGCTGCCGCTCGGCTTGGCAAGCTGGGCGCCAGCCTCCACGCTACTGGCGTCCAACCCCAGGCGGTCTACGGCCACGAGGTCTGGGGCATCGCCCCCTCGCGGCTCATCCAGCTCCGACGTGCCGCGGCGGCTGCGGCGGCGGGTGCGGGGCCTGGTCGCCGCCTGGACACCGCCATGGCCATCCTCTACCACCTGAAGGACCCGGCCCTCAAGCTGCGCACCCAGCTGGTCCACGAGTGGCTTACCCAGTGGCTGGCGCGGCCCGAGCTCCACAGGAGGGTCCAGCGCATCTGGCCCCACGTGCACCACCGCCTCCTCCGAGCCAAGGGGGGGCGTTGGCGGAAGGTCCACGGCCCCGTGGCCGCCATCATCGCCGCGCTGCTCGACGCAGGCTGGAGCCCCACGGGGCCTGGCTCCTGGAAGAGGCCTATGGCCGACGGCGTCGAGGAGTGGACGATCCCCCTCGCCGACCACCATGGACGGCTCCAGGTTGACTTCCACGAGTATTCCGAGCTGCTGGACGACCTCACCGAGGACCTCGACCTGATCCGATGGCGCCGCGCGGCCAATCACGCCCACGGAGGAGGCCTCGGCGATCGAGGAGACGTCACCCAGATCAAGCGGGAGCTCGACCACTGTGCCAAGCAACTGGCAGGAGTGGGCTCTCAACTACCTCGTCGCGGTCGGGGGGCAGTGGCCAAGGCAGCGGCAGATTGACGCTGGCTACCAGGGCTCCTCGCTATGCCAGCGGTGCTTCGAGGCAGTCATCGGAATCCTCCACGGCCAGGCCATCCAGGCTGCGCAGCGGCCTTCACGCAGGCAGGTCAGCGAGCCGGGTGGGCCCCCGGCCGCGACCAGGCGGAGGAGGCGGGCGGCCTCAGCCCCGGGAGGCGCCGACATCAACGGCACGGGCCTTGGAGCGGCCGCCCCAACGGAAGCCAAGAGGGCCCCTGGGAGCGGCCACCCGCGGCGACAGCGGCCCGCCACACAGGCGCAGACGCAGGGCTCGCAGGTGGGCGCGCCGACGGCAGCGGCAGGAGGCCCCCTCGGCCCCCGCCTATGGCTCCCCGACTACACGTCGCCGGCCTCGGGCGCCGTCGTCCTGTACTGCAGCGCGGCCACTGGCGCGCCAGGCCGCCGCCGCCCGCCCGCGGAAGCCACAGGCACCAGGGGGCCCAGCCCGCCCCCCCGCAGTGCCGCGCCCCCCGCCTTGGGCCCCAGACCTGCCCAGCCGCCCGCGAACGAGCGCACCTTCGGCCAGAAGGTCGCGCACTTCCTCGGAGCAGCTCGCCGCATTTTCGTTGGGGAAGGCCCACAGGACGACGCAGGCCCGAGCCCCGCCGCTGCACCGGAGGCCGGCAACCGCCCCTGCCTGGCTGCAGGGCAGGCCGCCGGGGCCGACGGGCGGGCTGCCGGGGCGCTCTCGGGCGCCGCCGAGCTTGGGTTGCCGGGCCGCTCCTTTGGCAACTGCCCCTGCCAGGCTTCGGACAACCAGGACCCCCCGCAGACCAGTGGCGCGGCCGCCGCCCCGAGGGCCCCAGCGGCGGCCCTGGCCGCCGCAGCGGCCAGCGCGATGGCTGGCGCAGCCGTGGCAGCCGCGGCGCGCGATGCCCCGCGGGACAACGGCCATGGCGAGGGCCCCGCCGAGGCCGTGGGCCGAAGGCCACGTGGCGGCCGCTCGCCGAGCCCCAACCGCGCGGCCGCGCCCTGCGGCACGCCCGCGTCGCCCGCGCCCGCGGCCGACGGCGCGCCCGCGACAGCAGTGCGAAGGAGGATCCGCAGCAAGACGACCCGCCCGTCGTCCAGCGGCGGCAGCGGCGGCGCCCCCAGCACCCCTGCTGCCATGACGGGCGCGGGCGCGAGGCAGAGCGGGCAGGCGGACGCGCCACTGGCGCCGCCTGCGTGGCCAGAGGGCGGGGAAGTGCCGCCAGTGCGGCGCCCCGCGGGGCCGTCGCCGCGGCTGGGTGGACCCTGCAGCCCCCACCAGCCAGCAGACGACGGCGAGGAGGCGGCGGACACGGCGTCGCCGTCGCCGGTGCGGGCGTCGGGCGCGCGCGGGGGGCCGCGCGGGCCGAGCGGGCCGTGAGCCCAGACCGAACTTCTGGTGGCCTTCGGCGTCGTCCAGCGTGCTGGACGGCGCCGTGGGCTTCCTTTGAAGCTGCCCCACCCAAATCCTCCTCCTCCTCCTCCTCCTCCTCCTCCTCCTCCTCCTCCTCCTCCTCCTCCCCTCCTCCTCAACCCCTCCTCCTCCTCATCCCCATATCCTCGCTTCGTGCTGCTCCCCGCTTGTCTCTCCTCGCACCCGTCGCATACTCCCCTCGCATTGGGCACATGGGGGCCCCCCTTGCGTGGTGGAAGATCACCTATTCTCTCCGAGCCTGCTGGCTCGGACGCTGCGATGAGCCCGGCCGACGGCGGTCCCAAGTCTCGGCGGCGAGCGAGGGGGGGCACAGCGAGAAGGGGAAGGCCTTTTTTCCTTTGTTTCTTTTTTTTTTTTTTTTTTTTTCCCCATTTTTTTTTTTTTTTTTTTTTTTCCCCCCCCTTTTTTTTTTTTTCTTTTTTTATTTCTTTCTTTTTTTGGTTTTTTTTTTTCTCCCCCGTTTATTTTTTTTTTTTTTTTTCCCAGAGGGCGACGGGTCTTCTGCGTCTTCGGGAGAGGCTCAGAACATTTCTCGGACGGCCGGGAGACCTCTGAGCCTTCTGAGAAGGCCTCCTGCTTATCCCTTCCCCCCCAGGCGTGCCGCCGAAAGTCTGTGCCTCGCGAGCGACCGAGACACCCTGCTGCGGCACGGAGGAGGCCAACGAGTCACCTGCACTCCCCTGGGGCAGAGATCCCCGAGGAGGAGGAGGAGGAGGAGGAGGAGGAGGAGGAGGAGGAGCAGGAAGAGGAGGAGGAGGAGACGGAGGAAGGGACGGAGGCGGAGGAGGAGGAGGAGGAGGAGGAGGAGGAGGAGGAGGAGGAGGAGGAGAGGGAGGGAGGAGGCGGAGGAGAGTGAGGAGGAGGAGAGGAGGAGGAGGAGGAGGAGGAGGGGAGGAGCAAGCAGGAGCAGGAAGAGGAGGGGAGAGGAGGAGGAGGAGGAGGAGGAGGAGGAGGACGGAAAGGAGGAGGAGGAGGAGTGAGGAGGAGGAGGAGGAGGAGGAACCCCTCTTCGGCATGATCGGGCGGGCCCGTGCTGTGTGTGGACGAGGCGGCGATCCCCCCCTCCCCCCCGGGCGCGGGCGCTCCAGGCGGGACGCTGGCGGTGGCCCCGAAGCCGCCGCCGTCGAACGATCCACGCTGCGCTCAAGTCGGGCCTGTCCCCCTACAGGAGAATGTTCGACGAGGAATTAGAAAAAAACATAAAATACAACATTGTCCAAAAATAATATGGGGACTATTTTAGGTATGTTTGCCTTTTTGGGGTATTTCTTATTTTTCGTCGAAAATCCCCCTGTAGGCGGACACGTCCGACATAACGCTGCGCACAAGTCGGAGAGGCGTGATCGCTCAAGAACGAACGATCTTCGGTAGCAAAGCATGGGAGCCTGATGTGCCCTCTTTGATTCCGTCTTCGGCGTGGGCTGGCGTCGATTAGCGACTTGCAGTCGGTGGGATAGCGCCGATGTGGCGTTGGTTGGCGTGGATTCGCGTCGATTTAGCGTCGATTCGCGTCGATTTAGCGTCGGCTTGCGTCGATTCGCAAGAGCCGGCAGGACGGTATGGGAGGCTCCCATGAGTTGCCATCGAAGACGATCTCTGCGGTGTCAGAAACCACCACGCAGGTCGTCAAGCCACGAAGCCGCCGCACGCCCCACCCCCGGCCCCCCCAACCATCTCGGGGACCAGAGAGATCGACTAGACGTAAGAGTGACCTTTCGCCGGAGTGACCTTTGGTGCGGGCACAGATGGGCCCCCAGATGGCCGAACGCGAAGCGGTAGCAGCGGCTAGGGCGCCCGGATTTGGCCTCCCCGCGGCCCCCCAAAGCCGCGCACCAAAGGTCACTCTTACCCAGGGTCACCAACACCAACACCAATATCGGCGGTGTGCCTCCACCGAAGGAAGAAGATCCCGATCTCGGTGATGGTGGTAATATTCTGGCTTCCAAGATGCCCGAATATTGCCACCAACACCGAAATCTGGGATCATCTTTCCCCTGTGGAGGCAGCCCCCTGTGTTGGTGTTGGTGCCCACTTCCAGGCCTCCAAGAGAGTCAGGAGCGAAAGAAGGACGTACATGTACATGAATCCACGCTGGTTTCGGGAGCACGCATTGCACAAATGTTCGTATCACGCGGCCGGTCTCGCGAATCGAGGGGCCGTGTTCATGTACATAGCTGGGCGCGTACGTCCTTTGGGGGCTCCCTATGAGAGGGAGAGAGCGACGCGCAAGAACCCCGCCTCCCCCGCAGGCTCCCTCCAGCGTCTTCCTGCACAGGGGCGCCGGCATCCTGTCCGGCCTGTCGACGCTGATCTGGGAGAGACCGCCGCCCCTCAGCGAGGGACAAAAACACACAGACACAGGTAATCGTCGATTCCCTCGAAAACATGGGAAAATATGGGAAGTGGGGGGGGGGAAGACAAAGACCCTGAAGATATGGGAAAATCTTGGGGATCCTGTTGCGTGTGTCCATTTACTATTTACTCGTGTGTCCCAGGGCCCCTTCACATTACACCCTCGGAGGTGCGCGCGGATTGCTCGGATCGGCGCTGGGGGCCCCTGGCCCCCCCTCCCCGGAGCGCGCGGAGCGCCCCGAGGGCGGCGCCGGCTTCGCTGAGAAGTCCAGCGCGGATCCAACAAATCCGCGCGGACCTCCGAAAGTTTGCAGTGGAAGCCCAGGCCAAGAAACACCCTACTTGCCTCCAGGGTGCCCTAGTTTTTATGCTTCCTATGGTTCTGCCGAATAAAGAGTGGCGTTCCCACACCGAAAATCAGTGGACGTCCTGGGGTCTCAGGGTTGGGTGCCATGCGGAAGGTTTCTTGTGGTCGAGCTCCTACTGTGTGTTTGCGTGGATGTTTCGGTTGCTCCAGCCCAGGGGCAGAGGCCTGAACGTGGAGCGCCAACAGTTTATGTTGTTCGTTTAAGATCTGTTTCTCTTCTTCTGAAGACGTGCTTGCCCTCAGGTGTTTTTTTACGTCGGTTGGTACGTCATCGGATAGGTAGTCTTGAGTCGGGCCTGTCCCTCTACAGGGGGAGCATCCCAAACAGTCAAGACATAGTCTGGGGACGATTTTTGTTTGACTATGTTCCACCATTCTGGAGTTTTTTATATATAAAAAAGTCGAAACGTATCCCCCTGTAGGGGGACCGGCACGACCTCGGTGTAGGCCGTGTCCTCGGCCGGTGCCCGGGCGGCGGCCGCCCGTGGGCGCCTGCGCGGCTGCGACGAGACGTGGGCTGCACCGCACTCAGTGCGAGCAGGCGGCGCCACGCAGTCGGCACCTCAGTGGGCCCACGGGCGGCCACCGGGAGGAGAGCGGCCACGGGCGGGCTCCGTCAGACGACGCGAAGATCGGGACAAAATCGGATCGGGATCACTCGAAATCTCTGAGAATCGCCGGGTTTGGAGGATGTATTGGGCGCCGCGGCCGCTCCAGAGCGTTCCGGAACGCTCTGAGAGCGCTCCGGAACGCTCTGGAGCGATTTATCCCGGTCCTAGCCCTGTTTTACTCCATTCGCGCGGCAGCGGCCCCCCCCCCCGCGGCGGGCGTCGGCACCGCGCGGCGCCCATCGCGTGGCGCTCGCGGGGTATCCTCCCGCCTCGAGGCCCCAGGAGGGGGCCCCCGAGGCCCGCAGGAGCTTGGTGGGCCCTGGAAACGGCAGGGCCGTTTTTTTACCGGTTCCGTTTTGCCGTTCTTTTCCCGGTTCCGACGCCATTTTTTACAGGTTTTGTTGCCGTTCTTTTTACGGGTTCCCGCTCCGGTTCCAATCCTTGAGCCGTTTTTGTTGCCGTTTCTGGGCGCCGTTTTTTGCCATTTCCATGTTCAAGGGACCTTTTTTCGGAAACGGTGACAAAACGGCCCTGCCGTTTCTGGGGCCCACTAAGGTTGGCACCAGGGCTGGACCTAAACGGTGTTTTGTCGTGTGCGTGGGCCGTTTTTGTTTCGACTCCGTTTTGCATTGAACGGCTGATTGGAGGCAAAGCAAGTGAGAACCAAAGCAAAGCGAAAACGAAAAACACCGTTTCGCGTCGCGTCGCGCTTGCACTGCCCTGAGGCACTAGGAACACGCGCGTTCTCGCGCTTGCCCCGCCCCAAAGTTACAGACCCGCGCGTTTTCGCGCTCGCGCCGCTCTGAGGCGCCAAGAAACAATGTTTTCGCACTTGTCCCGCCCTGGGGCGTTTAGGTTCAGCCCTGGTTGGCACCACCGCACAGCCTGCAGCACGTAGCCTGCACCGCGCAGCTTGCACCTCGTGGCCTGCAGCACGAAGCCGACACCGCATTCAGGTCGGGCATGTCCCCCTACAGGGGGATTTTGGACGACAATGAAGACAGATACCACAAATGCCCAAGACATCAAAAATTGTCACCACATCGTTCCCGTAGTCTTATTTGAAACTATGTTTGAATCTTCCCCCTGTAGAGGGACATGCCCGACTTAACACTGCATGGCTCTCACGGCGAAGATTTCATCGCATTGTACCATATAGCTGGATCCAAACATATAGCACCGCATTGCGTACACCGCACCACATCGTTTACTACTGCTTACACGCCCACTGTGCGACGACCCACTGTTGCGGGCCCATAATGGCAAGCATTTGCACGTTTTCGGTCGTTTCTGGAGGTTGTCGTCGCAACGGCCAGGCTAGGCTCGGAACAACTGTGAGGATCGACCCCTGGGAGGGGTCTGAGCCACGAAGAGCTAATGTCAATGTGTGGAAGAAGGGGGGGATCCTGAGGTCTTTCGGCGTTTTAGGTTTTTGGGGGCCATTCCCTGGGCCCCAAGACCGTCGCCGTCAGAAAACCATTCGGGCTGAATAGTTTCTCACAGGCAAGACCCCGCGGTCCTGAACCCGTCTCCTTCTCGCAGGGCTCCCTCCTGCCGCGTGCCGCTGTCCCCGGGGCACCAGCATCGCTGCTCTCCCCTCGTCGCCGTCGTCAGCTTCGCCTCGAGATCCTGGTCATAACGTGCCCCTGGAGAGGGAGGGACCCTGTGTTTGTCCCCCCGTACAGTTTCGGCGCAGCACTGGGTGTGCCAGCCCCGGGTGGACGTTTGAGAGCCCCTCTGGTGCTGATGCCTCAGGGGCGGTGGGCGGAGGAGAAGGAAGCAGGGAGGGAGAAGAAAGAGATGAGGAGGATGAGGAGGAATAGGAGGAGAAGGAGGAGGAGGAGGAGGAGGAGGGAGCGGAGGAGGAGGAGGAGGGAGCGGAGGAGGAGGAGGAGAAGGAGGAGGAGGAGGAGGAGGGAGCGGAGGAGGAAGAGGAGGAGGAGGAGGAGGAGGAGGGAGCGGAGGAGGAGGAGGAGGAGGAGGAGGAGGAGGAGGAGGAGGAACAGAGGATGAGAAGGAGGAGGAGGTTGACTTCGAACATTCGCGGCCCTGACGTAGTGACATCAGTGATGAAAAAGCCGCCGCCCACTGAACTCCATTAAGACCGCGAGGACGAGGCCAAGCGCCTGGACCTCCCTGAAGGGGTAGCGCTGGTTGCTGGATTACCCTATCGTCCCGCGATGCCCAGGCAACGTACACCACGGGCCACAGACCGCAAGTTCGTGTCGTGCCGGCGCAGCGACGACCCCGCCGCGGGCGTTCGAGGTTGAACGCCGCCAGTGGCCCAGGACTACCCAATATTCGGCAGCGAGCGAGGGGGGGCAGTGAGAAGGAGAAGGCCTTCTCGGAAGGTTCGGAAGTCCCCTGGCCTTCTGAGACGTTTTCTGAGCCTTCCCCGCAGACCAACAGAAGCTTCTTAGCAGGCGCGAGGGCTCCTGGAAGGCCCCGCCGCCTTCTGAGAAGGCTCTCTCCTTCTCGTTTCCCCCCCTCGCCCGCCGCCGAAGCATGGAAGACGTTGGCGATGAAGAGGCCGCCGACCGAGCAGGGTTGAACCATCCGCGCGGTGTCGGAGGCCAAGGCCGGCGTCGTCACGACAGGAGCCCGCCGCGAGCGCGCGGCGAGGAGGAGGAGCGAGAGAGGAGGAGGAGGAGGAGAAGGATGAAGGATGGAGGAGGAGGAGGAGGAGGAGGAGGAGGAGGAGGAGGAGGAGGAGGAGAGGAGGATGGAGGATGAGGAATGGAGGAGGTGGAGGAGGTGGAGGAGGAGGAGGAGGAGGAGTCGAGGAGGAGGAGGAGGAGGAGAGGCCCCCCCGGCGGAGGAGCGGAGCGCGGCGGGGCCGGGGAGGGTCCGCGGGCCGCGCTCCCCGGCACGGCGGGGCCTGGCAGGGTGAGGAGGGGGCTTCGGGAGGGGAGGATGGGGAGGAGCGGCCAGGGGCCCAGACTTCCGACGATGCTCCAGATTTCATAATAAAGGGAGGGGGTTCTCATTTCGGGGGGGGTCTCTTCCAGGCTATCTTGGAGGGCCTGGGGGGGTCTGGGGACGATGTTTTGGAGGGTTCTCCCACCGGGGGGGTCTAAAACTTCTCGTCTGGGAGGGTTGAGACCCCCTCCCTTTGATTACGAAATCTGGAGTACTCAGGAGGGGAGAAATGACACACGGACGCAAGGAATCGTCGATGCCCGCGAGATGATCTGGGAGGGTGTGGGAAGTGGGGGTGGGGGGGGGGGAGACAAGACCACCGAAGATATGCAAACACAGATGTGTGTGTATCAATTTGCGTGCCCCAGGGCCCCGTCAGATACCGTCGGGCCCCCGAAGAAGGAATGCTTTTCGTTGGGGAGGGGCTCACTGCTCCGGACCTGCGCCGCAGTTCTTCTCAGGTTGTCCTTGGGTATCTTTCAATGGAAAGCTGGGCCTCTTCCCGTCTGACAGTGCTCCGACTGTATTCTTGTTCCAATTCCGGCGGTTTCCCTCCATTCCGTCCGCCGGCGGCCTTGTTCGGGCCCTCGGAGACCGTCAGAAATGGACGCGCGGGCCCCCCCAAAAAAGCTCCCGGGAGTGGGTCCGGAGCCCTGGGGCCGCGGATTGCAGAACGTCCTCTCGTCGGGTGCCTGCGGAGGGGGGAGGGCGGAGCGATGACGAGGAGGCAGGGAGGAGGGCGGAGGGATGCGAGGAGGGAGGGAGGGGGGGAAGAGTGAAGAGGTGGAGGAGTAGGAGGAGGGGGTGCGGCAGCAGATGTGGGAGGTGGACAGGGGTGAGGGGACTGGGTGGAGGGAGGGTTCAGGAGGAGCATGGCCAAGAAAGAGGATGGAACACCAATCTTTCCGCTGCCCCGTAGAAGGTTCCCGAGATGTTTTGCCATCTTCGATCTTTCCTGTAGCTCTTCCGCGGAGGCGCGACGACAATCGCGTTTCGCTCGTCGCGGCACAAAGGCCGTAGTGCTGGCCTTCTTCGGGGGCCCGCGAGGGAGCGAAGATGATCGTGCATCGCGGGGCCCGATGCGAGAAGTTAGGAGGCCTGGATTCCTGCTTTGGGGGGCCCCAGGGCATCCAAGGACGTCTCCCTCCGCACGGCAGGCTCGTGCCCTGCGGACGCGGCAGCGACCTCGCCCTTGGGCGTCTGGGGTCGACCGGCGCCAGTGGCCCGCCGTCGGCTAGCACGGAAGGATCTGGCCATCGAGAAGCCGCCGGTCTGGTCTTAAGTCGGGCCTGACCCTTTACAGGGGGGAGATGCAAAGATAAGCAAACAAGTACTTTGGGGACTGTTGTTTGACCAGCTTTGACCATGTGTAGGTTTTTGTTTCTAGTATTTTTTCAAATTTTTCGTACAACATCGGCCCGTCGGGGGACATGCCCGACGTAAGTCTAGTCAAGGTTGCATGGCCCACGCGGTTTGACAGAAGCCATCGCCAGGTTCGTCACGAGACGAGCTTGCCGCACCCCGTCGGCTCACTGCACGCTCAGGGGCGGCGAGCGCCGACGGCCTCTGGGGCGGTGTCCCACCCCTGTAGATCTCGGGGGCCCCCACAAACGGGGTGGTGACCACACCGCAAGGACCACACGGTTTTGGGACTCGGGTCGTTCTTCGAGGACGTCTCGGGCGACTGGGGCCTCCGAGGTCCCAAGACCGTGCGGCGACGGACCGTGCGGTGAGGTCTTGGGGGACTTCGAGGTCACCGCACGGTTTGCCACCGCACCGTCTCGGGACTCCAAGAGATCGTTCGAGGGTGAGCCTTTCACGCGGCAGCGGGGGACGTCGTACAGGAGAGGCAAGCAAAGTCGCCTCCTGGACCGATCGATATTGGGCTGGCCTCCGGCCAGTGCCGCCGATCCGGGGGGGGGTGAGACCGAAAAACGTCAGATATGACGTCGGAAATATCCCCGTGTACCGAAAAACGTCGGAAATGACGTCGGAAATAACTTACGCCCCCCCCCCCCTGCAGAGCGAAGCTTGAGCGAGCTCAAGTCCACGCTCTCAGAAACTCACACGCCCGACCAATCGATATATCCCGGTCGCCCGCGGGGGGGCGCGAAGCGGATCCCGCTCCGCGCGCCGCGGTCCGAGCCCGAAGGGCTGCCTTTCTCTTCGCTGGCGCGAGGGCGCGAAGAGAAGCCGCGCGTGGCGCATCGGGGCGCGCGCGCTTCGTTGTCGCCTCGCCCGTCGCTCTGTTGGTGTCTTCCCGCGTTTACCTTGCCTTTTCCGCCTCGGCCTCTTGCGTGCGCACTCTGGCAGTACCGTGCCCCAGTTTGCTGTTTTAACTAGTCTGTGGCGCGTATCCGCCTCGACCTGACACGCCGCCGGCGCTTCCGCCCGCGGCCGTTGACTAAAAAATCGGGGGGCGCGATGCGCGAAGCTAGGTGACCGAGATGTTACGGAGGCCTTGCGGCCAGTGCCGCCGACCCTGAAGGGAGACGACGACGACGACGACGACGACGACGACGACGACGACGACGACGACGACGACGACGACGACGACGACGACGGCGACGACGGCGGCGGCGGCGGCGGCGGCGACGCTGACGTGGGTCAGAGTCCTCAGGGATGCCCGAAGGCTCTGGGAGGCCTCCGGGGAGGAATTTGGGGGCCTCTTGGGAGTCTCTTGGGGGCCTCTTGGGAGTCGCTCGGGGGCCTCTTCGTGCTTCCTGGAGAACTCTTGTGGACTTCTTTGGGCCTCTTGGACATCTCTTGAGGCCTCCTGGGAGCCTCTCGGGGCCGAGGGCTCGAAATGTCAGTTCGGATCCACCGTCTGGGCACGCTCTTGGGGGCCTGCTGGGCCGTCTTGCAGGTGTTTTGGGCTCTCTTGGTGTCCTCTGGGGCTGTTTGGGGGCCCTCTTGGAGGCCTCTTGGGGCGATCTTGAGGGTTTCTTGCGCCGTCTTGGAGCGGCTAAACGTGGAAAAGGCGAGAACGCCTGAATCTCCCCCTCAGGGGAGTGCTCTTGGAGGCTTCTTGGGGCGTCCTGGAGGCCTCCTGGGCAGTTTGGAGGGCGTGAAGGCGTTTTGGACGGATCGTTTGGCGATTGGGGGCGCGGGCCCTCTTGGACCGTCTCGGGTGCCTCTTGGGGCATTCTTGGCCTGTCTTGATATTTTCTGAAACCTTGGGACCCCCGAGGGCCCCCCCGGGACCCCCACCGAGGACCCCCCTTTCTATCCCCCTGGGACACCCCCGCGACGGGGGAGGGAACAAAGGGAAGGGGCGTTCTTTCGACTCGATTACGACATTGCTCGATTTTTCTTTAGTTGAGAAGCTTCAGGAGGAGGGTGCAGGGAAAGGGGACGACGGAGACGACTCGTGCGTGTGTTTGTGTGTATGTGTCTGTGTCTGTGTGTGTGTGCGTGCGTGCGTGCGTGCGTGTGTGCGTGTGTGCATGCGTGCGTGCGTGCGTGCGTGCGTGCGGGCGGGCGTGCGGGCGCGCGCGCGCGCGTGCGTGCGTGTGTGTGTGTGTGTGTGTAGGGAGGGAACCAGATGTGCTGCAGCCTGTGGACCATGATGCCATTACGTACTCACGGCAGAATGTGCTTGTGAAATGTGGACGCTACTCGCAGATACGCACAGGAGCTTTAGGAGTGCAGATCGCGAGTACGGGGCAGATTGCACATTCCGTATTCCCCCTGCACATGTGCGGCTTGGTATTGCCGCTCTCGGCTAGTCGCGGGCACCGTCTCGACCGACAGTGTCATTTGGAAGATTCGTGATCTTTCGTTGCCTTGCTTGAGGAGTGGGTCTGGACACCAGCAGCGCTGAACAGCTTGGACATCGACCAGCTTAAGCAGATGTGCGCCGTTCTGCCCCTGCTTCTTCATCCACCTTGCATGCGCGTAGAGCCCACCCTCGGTTGTCATGTTCAACATCCGAATGGTATGCAGGAAGCGCGTCGGGTGCTCCAGATCGGCCGCCCAGATCCCGTGCATGACTGCATGACCCAGGTCTACTGTTTGTCCTCGTGATCGCCGCAGTTGGGCAGAGAGAGAGAGCACGTTGCGATCCTACGGATCGCGTGGCTGCCGGCAGGCTGCCTCGCACCTGACCCCAGCGGTCAGGCAGGTGAGGATTGCTGCTCCCGGCGGTCGTTCACACAGCACCCCATCTCCGGGGTGTCCACGAAGCCGGGAGGGTGTGGTCGAGCTCTGTTCTTTCTGCTGGTGTCTCGCTTTGCTACTGGGGCTGTCGCCGTGGGTGGTGCTGGCGTTTGTGCTCTCTGGCTGGGGGTGGGCCGTGGCAGAGCTCGGCTCTGCAGGGGGCGGTGCCGACTGTGATGTGCGGTGCCGCTCGGTGAGCACGTGCTGCCTGACCCTCGCCATGCGCAGACTCGTGCCTGACCGTGCTGCCACGGCGCCTCTCCCGACTGGCTCTGCTGGCCATCCCGTGCATCGGGTACTCCAGATTTCGTTATAAAAGGGAGGGGGCCTGGGCCCTCCAAGACAAGCCGTTTCAGACCTCCCCCGTGGGAGAACCCTCCAAACCGTCGTCCCCAGACCCCCCAGGCCCTCCAAGATAGCCTGGAAGAGACCCCCCCCGAAATGAGGCCCCCCTCCCTTTATTACGAAATCTGGAGTGAGTGTGCGGCTGTTTGGCTCGTCTGCGCTCACGCGCTGCTGTGGCTGCCTTGTCCAGCGCTGCATGGCGCGCCTCTGCGCGGGGGCCGTCGAACAATATTGGCCACGGATGCGCCGTGGCATCGTCCAGCGGCGTGCGCAATCTTGCAGGTGGCGCCATGGGCCGTGGGCGAAGACCATACAGTCGGGGCGCTGAGGAAGGAACCCTTTTCGTTGGGGAGGGGCTCGGCGTTCCTTATTTGTTTTGCAGTCCGCCTTGGGTTTGGTTGGGGTTTCGATGGGGAATCAAAGTTCAACTTATGGGAAAAAAGGGGCTTCGTTCCTTATTTAGGGTTCCTTAGGTCAACGCCCCGACTGTATCCGTCTCCGCGGCTTCGCGGGCCAGGCCCCTGGGCAGCGACACCCGCGGGTGCGGGGCGCTCCCTTGCGGGTGTCCCGCGCTCGGAGCGCCCCCGTGCGACCTCGCCCTTTTTGCGGGATCTCGCGCCCTGGAGTCTAACCCCGCGAGGCCGCGGGTGCGGACATGTGGTCGCCTCGGGAGGAGCCGGGGGGAAGCTCTGTGCACGCGCGCCGCTCTTCTTGGCATCGCTCGGACGTGCGCATTTCTCCTTCGGCGAGGACCACTGGGGAGCATCCTTCATATCCTTAGGCGAAAAAGCCACGCACGACACCGAACAGAGCACAGGGAATGGACGTCCGAGCGAGGGCGAGTCTTGTGCCCAGGGGGCCTGTGCTCGTTGGCCGTGCCTCCAGGGCGCGGCCACCACTCCCTGCCGCTGCGCCCCCCCCCCCCCCCGGCCTGGCAAGATGCTGCGCTCGGCGGCGTGCCCCCGGGGGGGGGGAAGCGACAGGGGGCGGGCCGTCTCAGAAGGCTCGGAAGTCCCGCGGCCCTCCGAGAAGTTGTTCTAACGGCTTTCGGGGGAGAAAAAGATACGGATACGTGTTGTCCCCCGTCGTTTTCGGCCTTTCCTGGTCCTCCTGGGGAATCCTCGTTGTCACCGCTGGATTCGCCTCGAAATTCTGGTCAGAACGCACCCCAAGAGAGGTCCGGGGACAACACGTATCCGTATCTTTCCGCCCCCCAAGGTTTTCCCCGAAGGCACAGAAGGCACTCCTCAGAAGGCGCGAGAGCCTAGGAGAAGTCCCGGCGCCTCCGGAGGAGGCCGTCGCCTTCTCGCTCGGCTCGGGAGGTGCCTGGGTCGTCTGGGCCGTTCCTCAGATCTGGGCCAGGGAGCCTATAGTAGTCGTAGTCCAGGCTCGCTGCGGTCAGGAACAGCCACATCGTTACTTGCTCAGCGTTCCTTGTGTCAAGCTAGGGAGGAAGAGGCCTGGCTTTTGCTGAGCAGCCCAGGGCGTACACAAAGTAGCCCAGCCCGGTCCGCTGCCTGCCCCGGCTGCCTTCTCTTGAGGGCTTCGCTTCTCGGGTGCTTCTTACACTGTTGTCCATTCTGCCCTCTGCACTCGTAGCGCGGTGGCTATACCCCTGGGCATTTCCGCAGCCAGCGCGCTCGAGTGCTGGTCGGCCGTGGAGGTACGAGATGGAGGAGGTCGGCAGCCACGAGCCGCTGCACGGTGGAGCCGCGCCCGAAGCTGCGGCTGCGGCTGGGCGGAAGGATTGGCGATCTGGAGGCAGGCAGGGAAGCGGAGCATCGAGGATCTCGCGGCAGGAGCCTCGAGATCCAGGCGCTGCATTCCTGTTCACACGGGATTTTTGCGCCGGGTTCTGGGTCCTGGGGCCATCACAGATCCATCCAGCGTTTGACATGTTGCAGAAATATGGGGTCCAGGGCTCCGGTCGTGATTGTTGGCGATGTTGTTCCCAGCCATTCTCTGGTGTTGGGTTCTCGTTTTGAGGAGACCGCGCCCCGCGTTCCTCCTCTCCTCCTCCCCCTCCTCCCTCCTCCCAACCCTGCCTCTGCCCCCATTTTGGCACATCCCTCACAAGTCTCGTGGCCCCATAGGGAGCTCCACCGAAGGCCCCAGTGGCAGGGTTTGCATGGCGGCGCCGCCACCCACATTTTTGGCACACCGCTCACATGTTTCGTGACCCCACAGGGAGCTCCACCGAAGGCCCCAGTGGCAAGGTTTCTGTGGCGGCGCCGCCCCATTTTGGCGCACCTCTCACACGTTTCGTGGCCGAGCGAGGTCCACCGAAGGCCCCAGTGGCAGGGTTTCTATGGCGGCGCCCGCCCCATTTTGGCACACCCTTCACAAGTTTCGTGACTCCAGAGTGAGCTCCACCGAAGGCCCCAGTGACAAGGTTTCTATGGCGGCGCCGCCCCATTTTGGCACACCTTTCACACGTTTCGTGGCCCCACAGGGAGCTCCACCGAAGGCCCCAGTGGCAGGATTTCTATGGCGGTGCCGTCACATTTCGGCACACCGCTCACATGTTTTGTCACTCCAGAGAGAGCTCACCGAAGGCCCCAGTGACAAGGTTTCTATGGCGGCGCCGCCCCATTTTGGCACACCTCTCACACGCTTCGTGGCCCCACAAGGAGCTTCACCGAAGGCCCCAGTGGCAGGGTTTCTATGGCGGCGCCGACCCATTTTGGCACACCACTCGCATGTTTCGTTGCCCCATAGGGAGCTCCACCGAAGGCCCCCGCCCCATTTTGGCGCACGCCTCACACGTTTCGTGGCCGCAGAGCGAGGTCCACCGAAGGCCCCAGTGGCAGAAATTATATGGCGGCGCCGCCCCATTTTGGCACACCCCTCACATGTTTCGTTGCCCCATGGGGAGTTCCACCGAAGGCCCCAATGGCGCGGTTCGCATTGCGGCGCCACCCTCTTTCGGCGCACCCCTCACATGTTTCGTGACCCCATAGGGAGCTCCACCGAAGGCCCCAGTGGCAGACATTCGCATTGCGGCGCCGCCCCGTTTTGGCACACGCCTCACACGTTTCGTGGCCGCAGAGCGAGCTCCACCGAAGGCCCCAGTGGCAGAAATTCTATGGCGGCGCCGCCCCGTTTTGGCACACCCCCCACACGTCTCGTGGCCCCATCGGGAGCTCCACCGAAGGCCCCAGTGGCAGCATTCGCATTGCGGAGCCGCCCCATTTTGGCGCACCTCTCACACGTTTCGTGGCCGCAGAGCGAGCTCCACCGAAGGCCCCAGAGGCAGGGTTTCTATGGCGGCGCCGTCCCATTTCGGCGCACCCCTCACATGTTTCGTGACCCCAGAGGGAGCACCACCGAAGGCCCCAGTGGCAGAAATTCTTTGGCGGCGCCGCCCCATTTTGGCACACACCTCACATGTTTCGTTGCCCCATGGGGAGTTCCACCGAAGGCCCCAATGGCGGGGTCCGCATGGCGGCGCCGCCCCGTTTTGGCACACGCCTCACACGTTTCTTGGCCCCATAGAGAGTTCCACAGAATTGCAAGCCTCATCCTAGCATCCTTGAGCGAGCATGCGCATATCAGACGCACCCTGAGATGTCACTGAATTATTATTGTGTTCGTGCCACTTCTTTTCTCTCTCCCTTTTTCTTGTCTCTCTTCTGCGATGCTATCGCTGCATGTTCACTTTTTGGTGCGCTTTCTTCTTCTCGCAGGCCGAAAACCGTGTCCTGCGGACGTGGCCGAACTTCGAGCCGCCCATCGTTCCCGATTTACCCGTTGAGGCTATGAGCGGTGAAGTATTTTCGCGCGACTCTGTCCGGGGAGTGTGGCTGGTATCCGGCCGCCTCCCGGCTCGGGTCGCACGGGGGTGAGCGATGCGTCGAGTGTGGCTGGATTCCGGCCGCCTCCTCGCCTCGCAGAGCCCTTGATACGCAGCGTGCAATAGCACCGGCATGGCCACGGAGCGCGAAACGGTACGGTCAAAGCACCGTAACCATTGGCTCAAGAACCGAGGCGCCAGCGTGCCTCGGCCGAAAATGGTAAGAACCTATTGGTCCATCTGCCAGTGTGGCGCAGCCGCCGCCTGGCAGATCGGCCAATCACATGTTGGTGCCACCCAAGTTTTGGCACACCCCACACGCGTCGTGGTCCCATGGGGAGTTTCCCCGAAGGCCCCAATGGCAGCATTCGCATGGCGGCGCCGCCCCATTTCGGCACACCACTCACATGTTTCGTGGCCCCATAGGAAGCTCCACCGAAGGCCCCAGTGGCAGGGTTCGCATGGCGGCGCCGCCCCATTTTGGTACACTCCTTACACGTTTGGTGGCCCCATAGGGAGCTCCACCGAAGACGATACTCACGACTGCGGTGCTCACAGCTGCATGTGGTTGGGTCCTTCGACAGGTTACTTTTTCGCAACGTCGGACCTCAGGGAAGGAGTAGGATGAGGATTAGAAAAGGCGGGGAAACCGACATCGTTACTCTGCCCTCGTTCCCGCCGTTTTTATTTGCCTCGAAATCCTGGTTGGAAAGCGCCCCTGGAGAGCTCTATGGAGCAGCTGTGTCGGATTCTTGCTCCCGAGCGGAGGAGTAAGAGAAGTAGGAGGAGGAGCAGCAGCAGATGACCGTCAGTTGAGCCTGCCCGCAAATCACGGAGGCAGGAGGAGGGCGGCTGCACTTCCCCCTTCACGATTTGATCGAGGTGAGCGATCCCAGTGGGAGTCGCTTTTTGGCATTCGTTCACAATCTTGTGTGCACTGCGGGTGGCATGGGCTCCGCACGTCACGCACGTGCAGCTCCTTCTGGAAGAGCGATGGCGTCACCTTCTCGGCTGGATGCCTTCTCGGTTGGCGCAGCGGGCGGAGCTGGCGGAGCTGCTGAAGATGCCGAGGATGCCGCTCCCTCGCAGGCCTGGAAGTTGACACCAGCACCAGTATCGGCGGTGTGCCTCCACCAAGGGAAGAATGTTCCGACCTCGGCGATGATGGTAACATTCTGGCTTCCAGGGCGGCCGAACTATTGCCACCGACGCCGAGATCTAGGATCTTCCCCCTGTGGAGGCAACCCCCTTGTGTTGGTGTCGGTGCCCCCCATTTGAGCCTGTTTTTTATTAGACTCTGGCAAGTTTACTTGCATGGACGGGGGGGGGGGCTGAGCCTGAAGCAAGCCCGGGGGGGTGGGCGCGGAAATCGCGCAAGTCCAAGTCGAAAGGCACTTGCACGCTAGTATTCGCTTGAAGAGGGGCGAGGGGGGGGGTGGGGGGGGGGCGAACGCCATGCAAGTAAACTTGCCTGAATCCAAAAAAACAGGCTCTTTCCAGGCCCCCACCTCCCGTCGAGGGAGGCGTCGCGCCGCAGCTCTGGGATTCGGCGCCGCGCGGGGCACCCCACAGCCCGCCGCTCTGCCCAGAGAGCTCGCGCGCCGCGCTCTCGCGAGCCTCTGCGGGTCCGGAGCTCCGCGAGGAGCTTCTGGCTCCTCTTAAAACGACGCGAAGATCGGGACAAAATCGGATCGGGATAACTCGAAACCTCTGAGAATCGGCGGGTTCGGAGGATGTATTGGGCGCCGCGGCCGCTCCAGAGCGTTCCGGAACGCTCTGAGAGAGCTCCGGAATGCTCTGGAGCGATTTATCCCGATCCTAGCCCTGTTTTACTGCGAGGGCCACGGGTGCGGGACCCACGGCCTGGACGAGGAGCTCCACGCCTCCGTGGGCCGGGGCGACCTCGAGGCACTCCCGCGGGCGACGTCGTCTCGAGAGCGCTCGAGCGCGGCAGAGCCGGAGCCGTCGCCGCCCTCCAGCTCGACGAGCTCCTCGAGGTGGTGCTCCCGGCTGTCCGCGAGGGCAGCGGAGAGGTCGAGAGCAGCCTCGCCAGCTGATCGCGCTGCCGGCGTCGCTCTGCGGCCTTGGCCCTGCTCCTCGATGCGGGCCTGGTCCTCCTCGAGCTGCTGTTCATGCGGTCGACGGGCCTCTGCTGCGGCCGGGCGCTGCGGGCGGCACTGCCCACTGGCGTGGTGAATTCCGAAAGGGGCTGCGGGCCGCGGTGACTCCCTTGCCTCCGCCAGGTCCTGCTGTGATGGCAGCCGACCTCTTGGCCCAAGCTCCCTCAGCCTCTCGCCACGGAAGGAAGGCTAGAGTAGGTTTAAGCGAACCTCCGCATCTCCAACACGACGCTTGCTGCTTTCAATTATGCTTGAAACGACAGCCGTATGGACACAGGACACGTAGCCACGAGCAGATTGAGGTTTGCCCACGAGGGCGACAGCCACCGACCAGCGCGGAGCCTAGTTGAGGCAATGGAAGGATGCGCAATGAGGGGCGGACCTCGATGCACTCGGCCTGGGGCTGACCAGGCGAACTTTGAATGCAAGCCGCGGGCTAGCGGTATCCACTTGTCCCCTTGTGAAGCCCATGACCTTGCGCCAAAGCGGCTATGGAAGGAGGAGGCGGACGAGGAGGAGGAGGAGGCGGCGGCACAGGAGCAGCAGCAACAGGGCGAGGATGGGGGTTGGGACGAATACGGGGGGAGCACGCTGGAGGCAGCGGAGGGGGTGAGCAAAGGGGAGTGTTGGGGAGAGGAGAGGGAGGAGAGAGCTGTGAAGGGAAACGGGCTTGGAAA